AGGTAATTACTGGCGTATAGATATTTAATTTTTAATTTTCGCACAAGGCTAGTTAGTTTTTTTTTTTTTTTTGGGTGGAAAAAAAGGTCCTATATTCTATTTATAACCTGGGCTTTTTGATTTAGGATAGCATATTAAAAGTTTCTTGTATTGTTTTTTTTTTTTTTAAAAAAAGAAGGTTTAAATTGGGGTTTGTGTTTGAATTGTTACTGTATCATTAACATTGTTATATGCCGACGTGATAGAAATATTGCTGCAATGGCAGTCATGTGGCCGCTGGCAACTATTTTCCCTCTTTTTTCTTTTGTTGTTCTTTTTATCTTCAGAGTTATAAGCTATATAGGTTTGTACAGTGTCAACAGGAAGACATACAAAAAGGAAAGCTACAATTCCAGTGATTTTGGAGCCTAGCCATTACCCATCTCCTTGACCTCTGTAAAGATAAAATTGCAAAGGAGTGAGTGTATGTAACAATAATAATATTTCTAAAACTTTATTCACACAAACATGTTTTGTGTCATTGACAAGGATTTATTGGAAAGTATAGGTTGTACTTGAACTTTTGATGTATTATCCATTTTAATAGGGACAACGACACACAAGTTTGTAACTTTTTATTTGGCGACATCCATCATCATCTATTGATAGAATGCCTACTTCACAAGTAATGTAATGTATTTGCTGAACTGAAAAATGAACTCAGATTATGAAAACACGATGATATAATTAATTTTCATAAGAATATCGAATAATTACAACTAAGATGATTTGCATGAGATTAAATAGTTTTAAAACGCTGACCAATGTATTTCGTACTCGTATTATTTGTCGGCCTTCGTGATACCTTTGGAATATTAAAAGCAATGCTATGTTAGTAATTTTTTAATAAAATTATAGAAATTTTTTTTTATCTCATATTTATTATAATAGACAAAGATCTTTTTTTTTAAAAAAAAAAAAAAAAAAAACCAAATAAAAAAATTATAGACTTATTTTATTACAAATAAATTTAACGGGTAACACTGAAATGATTTATATTAACTTATTATTATTTTTTTAAAAAATAATTTATATTGTAAAAATAAAAACTTAAAATTAACATAACAATAATTTTATTTAGATAATGGTGAGAGGAGTGTTTTTGAAGCAGAAGGAAAAAAAAGCATAGGTTAAAATTGATTTTTCATTCTTATTTAAGCCATATCCTAAATAATGAGAGATTAAAGATACCCTCTAATTTTGACAAGTACTAGAACCATATTGTATTTTATTTAAATTTATTTTACTTATATATTCAATTACTATATCTTATATATTTGAATTGAAGACTTCATTCGTATTCGATTTTAATTCATGAATTCTATTTTATTGAAATATAGATTAAAATCAAAGTCCGTCCTAATTGGTTCGCTTACCCACAACCGGATTAATAATATTATTCTTGACATA